AAGGTTACCTAAGGATAATTCGGATTTATTGAGGTTAATTAAGGGGGAACCTAGGCGGGTAAAGTCGAGGGAGGTAGTAGGGAACCCATGATAAACCTAGACCCCAAAACCTAACGTACACCCTCAACCCTGCGCAATAAAAGCTTTATTGCCAAAAGAGCGCCAGAACCAGTCAAGCTGCTAGATGATGAAGGATGGAAACTGTCTTGATGATCAAGAGGCCCTTGTTGTAGGACAACCCCACGCGGTTCAGGGTTGAGGTATTAGGGCCCATAGCAAGTGAGTAGTATTTTATTAGGGGGTATTATGGTACCCACTATAGAGTAAGATTATATCCTTCTTTTGGGGTCTAGTATTTTATATAAGGACTATAATCTCACTGGGTTCAACCACCCAAAAAAAAAAGATACTCGAGTGAAGCTACCATTGCAATATTTTTTACAGTCACAGGGTCCTTGTTTTGGAGCCGGGGTAGCCAAACTCACTGACCCACAACAAACCCCACCCAAAGCGCCTTTCTACGCCAAATCCAATCCCCAAACCCTATGTATCCCTGCATACCGCCATAGCCCCGAGTTTCCATGATCCGTCTTGTTCCCCATGTGGTCTCCATTCTGTAGGGTCAACCCAAATTCCCTCAGTAACAGGCCCGCATGCACATAAACCCTAAATCCTAAACTCTAAGCCCCTAAACCGTAACTCCTAAACCCATAAACCCTAAACCCCTAAACCGTTGAAGGCGACCTTGAAATCTAAGACCTTGATCCTTGCACCGTACATTAGGAGCCAGAAAGCGCCAACCCTACGGTGGAACTTAGGTGTTTAGGGTTTACAGGTGTTGGGGTTAAGGGTTTGGGGGTTCATGTTTTAGGATGGATGGAGGAAATCTTGCACCACCTAATGTACCCTATAGCGAAGTGAGATACAGTATTTTGAGGGCCCAAGTCTTCAAGTGGTGCAAGATTTCCTCCATTCACCGTAGTATTTCCATAGCCCAAGACTAGCGGAACGAGGAAGAATACAGAGATCATCCTAGTCCCATGTTCCAGGGCTTGGACACCTTTAGATCCAAAACCCTAAGCCCTAGACCTGCAGTTTTGAGGCTCTGTCTAAGGATTTTTACCATGAGCGTCTCACACCAAGCCCATCCATCCTTTCACCCAAAAAAGCTTCGGTTCTATAGTCCCCCTAAAGTAGATAGAATATGTTCCTTTTTGGTGATCTTGTTATAATAAACCCAAAGCCATATTCTATCTACTCAAGGGGGACTATAGGGCTTACACGGATGCAAGTGCTTGTTTACTACCATCTTATTTAGGAGGACCCCCCCCCCACCCTGTAATAGTGATTCTAAGGGATAATAAGGATTATATTAGGGTCCTATCATATTCCTACAGAGTGGGAGGGGGTTCTGACTCCTAATAGCTGGTTGGTCATGGAAAGCAGAAGTTCTTACTATGCACAGGGGCCCTGTCGCTTGCGCTTCTTCTGGGGACTTTAGGAGGGACCCCTAATAGGGACCCTTAATCCCATTACCATATATAACCCTTATATAGTCATTATATAACTCCTATATCCCTAGGTAGTCCCCATATTAGCCCCCATAAGCTACAAGGGTCCGATTACGCCTCTTCTGGGGGTCGTTCAAGGCTTGCCCTGAAGGAGCCAACTTTGCCCAATACAATGGAGACTGGCGGCGTGGCCCGCTCCTCAGGGGAAGGTTTAGGGTTCAGGGGTTTAGGGTTTTAGGGGTTTAGGGTTTAGGGGTTTAGGGTTTAGGGTCTAGGGTGTAGGGTTTAGGATTCCCCCAAAATAGCCAGGTTCGCTTGTTTGTGTCCAATCCTCACATAGAATATGGCTTTGGGCATATTATAATAAGATCACCATATGCCCCATATTCTCCTTACTTAAGGGGGACTACAGACCCTGAACACGAAGCCCTCAAGTTTGGCACATATACAGGGGTTGTCATGTAGGGTATGTATGCGCTAAGCAGAGCAGAGCTCAGGCTAAAGATCCCCCTTCGTGTTGGGTTCTGTAGGGAGTATAGGGGGTCCCTCGTGCGCGTGGTGCATAGTGGATGCGGTACATAGTGCACGGCTTTGGACTCCAAAATCCTGTATTTCTAGGGACAAGGGATGTAGAGTGGTGCCAGGGTTTATCCACAGCTTTTCTTCTGTATACTGTCCAGCGCATGAACTTTAATTCTTTGAGGCTCAATATGAACCAAATGTTTAACCTCGGATCAACCCTAAACCCTAAACCCTAAACCCTAAACCCTAAACCCTAACCCTCTAGGAAGCCCAGTGTTACCCTTTTGCCTTTTTCGGCTTCTGCATTTCTCTGTAATGGAAATTAATCCTCTAAACCTAAACCGGAAGCTCTAAACCTTAAACCAGAAGCGTTATTCCGCTATTTTTCCTGGGCACCAAGTACCAAGCCCCTGTGCCGAGATCTACAGCAGCTCTTACAGCGCGAACCCAGCAATCCAAGCGAGCTGCGAAATCCGATCCGAAGAGGAGGTTCCAGATGTTGCAAGGGCTTTAGGGTTTAGGGTTTAAGCAACGTATGGCTTGGGGGCCTAGATAGATAGTTACCATTATCTGGGTCAGTTACATAGAGCTTAAACAGGAATACATAGTCAGACGCCGGGGTTGTGTTTAGATATTGTACGTCCATGCCTGGGTTGTAGCCCTTTTCAAAGGCGCAGTATGGGGGCGCTGTATGGGGTTATATACGCGGTATATAGGCCTTAAACCCTAAAATTCAGGTTCTTCATGATATTATGGGTAGGTCTGGAGGCCGCCTACATCCCCCGCCCCAAAGTTCCACGGAAGCCAATAATGGGCCGCCCAAGAACTACTGCCCGAGGAAAGGAGGGCCATATCAGCTTCCATGTCGGTATCTGTAGTTTCCTTAGGAAATATTTTCCATGTTTATGACATTTGAACCTGAAGGAAGTATTCAAGATATACCCTAAGCCCTAAAACCCATTTTTATGATAGTATAACGGTAAGGAAGTATTAAAGTTCTTGCTGCTGTTCAAGGTCTAAGGGGACTATGGGTATTGGGGGTGTACTGTGGTTGTTTAGGCCTGAGGGTTCTAAGCTTGACAGGTTCAGGGTTTAGGGTTTGGGGCAGTATGTGCAGTTGCTAATCTCTAAACTAAAAAAACTAATCAAGGCTAATTGACTTGGGGTGTAGTATAACCCCAAACCCCAAACCCCAAACCTACATGGTCCCTAAACCTTACACCCTTGTAGTATGTGATAGGAGGACTGGGGTCCCTAGACTTGAGGACCCGCGCAGTTTAGGGTTTCGTGTTCTGGGACTCCCTCGAAGCCTACACCCCAAAACTTATGCAATGCACCCTAAATCCTAAACCCTATACTCCCCCTTAAGTAGATAGAATATGGGCTATATGGGGATCTTATTATAGTATACCCAGGTGGGTGCGGCGCCGTGCGCGGTAAAAGGTTCCTCTTACCACGACACGCATTATATCTGCAGCATGGTGCGCGGCTGCTTGCTTCTTCATCTAGGCTAGGAACAACGCCTCTTCACAAGACACACACGGTGTCTGTAGCACGGTGCGCGGCTACCGGTAAACTGCAATTTTTTCAAGGTGCACATGGTACAAAGCACCTGCGCGGCTGCCTGAACTAATCCAAGCTTGGAACAATGCTCAACACTCGTAACCTCAGCTTGAAATGCGTTTACGCAGCATTCTCAACAATTCCGATTCGAGTTTTTTTTTTGTGACAGCGCGAAACAAATTGAGAGAACGCTTTCGCTGCAGCAGCAAAAGTTTGGGAACAAAGTTCTAATCTAGCAGCAACCTATTCACAAACTGTTTTGACAACGCAAGAACCTTGTGAAAAAACGTGGAAAAGTATTGGAACCTGTGCATGCACCTGGTTGTAGGAGGTACTTACACGGAGAGGTTGCCATGTAAGACGTGGAGCCGTTAGCAACTCTGGCAGAACCAGTTTGAGTTAGAGCAGAAACTATTTTGTCAGTTTTTTTTCTAAATGTGTGTTTGCGTGCGTGTGTGTCTGTTGCGCGTGTGTGTCTGTTGTCCGTGTGTGTCTGTTGTGCGTGCGTGTCTGTTGTGCGTGTGTGTCTGTTGTGTGTCTGTTGTGTGTCTGTGTGTGTGTGTGTGTGTTTGGTGTGTTTGTCTCTCTGTCTGTGTGTTCTGTTCGCGCGCACGCGCGTTTGTCTGAGTGTGTGTGATGTGTGTGTGTGCGTGTGTTGGTGTGTCAGTCACCTGCAGTGTATGCTGTTGCGGACAGCAATTGCATACGCCATGATTCAGTATGACTGCTCGAAATCGTAGAGCCTTGCAGTGTGCAGAATGCTTGCAGAATGCGGGCTACTGTGACATGATGCCCCATGAAGACGTGTGTCTACCCAGCTATTTTTTGAGGTCAACATGCATTTGTTGTGCAGGACCAAGCTTGTTGATGTGGAACTTGATCTTGCTTCGGTGATTTGCTGCAGTATTTGGCTTTTAGGTTCAACTGGATCGGCGTTGATTTGAAACATGGCCAAAACTGCTGCTATGTCAGCACGTCACACTGGAGCTCGCATCAACATGGGCACTGCTGGCCGTGACAGGAGATTCCGTGTTTTTCCTCAAGCAAAAGCTGCAACCAGAATGTCCAAAAAGCATCAACCTGGTGCACGTGCCGAAGATGAAGCAGAAGCAATGTTGGTATCTACTTCTCCACCTACGTCAATTGTTCCAATTCGCAATGACAAGTTTGTTAAAGCAAAAGGCAAGGCCAAAGCCAAAGCAACCTTGCAACAGTACACTCGAGACCGAAGTCCACACCAGCGCCGTGGTCGAACTGCAGCTTTGTCAAGATCGTCTCTGAAAGAGTGACTTTCTCTTGACGGCTTGCTTACTTCAACGCCTTCGAACCGTCAGAGATTGTGATCGAGTTGGGTATTGTCCAAACAAAGCTTGGAACAAAGTGCGAGAAGCGTGGTGAGGAGACATGGAAGCTGGAGGAGCGAGAGAATTACTGCAATTGGCGATGTCGAAAATGCAGAAAAACGCATTCTGTAGATGGCGACGACTTGGGTTTGTTTTCTGTGAAATTGCTTCTGCGCAGCCTCATGGGTTCCCTGTCAATTTTTTGTGCGCCTCTAAGTTTGTCCCCAGACAAATCAGGCATGGTCCTGGGCATTGATCATCGCTCTACTCGTACTTTGTTTGACAACTTCCGGGAGTTCCTGGCGCCCATTGTTGAGAAACTCAGTAACACTCTGAAAATCGGAGGTCTTGGTCAAGACGTTGAGCTTGATGAAATCAGCTTTCGAAGCACGACTGGGGGAAACAGAGTGGTTTGGATTCGGTATCTTGCAAGCGTGAGACGGGGAAGTATTAAGGTTTGGATTTCGCAGCTTCCTTACAGAATTACGGAGGGAGGTCAAGGAGGAGGTGGACCGATCGGCTTGGAAGAGTTGAAAGCAGCCACTCTGCCTGAGGACAACCCTCCCCGTCTTGCTGAGGGCTCGATCTGTCACACAGATGGTGCCCGCACTTACAAGCAGCTGGGCTCGATGGACAGTCCGCTTCTTGAAAGCGACGTGTTCCATTCAGTGTTTTTTCCTCCTTGCGTTTGGCTCACACGGCTGTGAAGCATAAGCCGCCAAAGCCGCAGTTTGTGAAGATGTTCAAGCTCAAGAGATGGGATGGCTCAAATTTGGTCCCAGATGAGCGCCTGGGTGGGACCCAGAAATTGGACGGATTCTTTGCAAGCTTCCGGCGAGAGGTCGGTCGCCGCCCTTTCAACACCACTGGCCCTTCACGGAAAGTGCAGCCAAGATGGAGCAGCACTTGCGTCAGCGCATGAGATGCTTCCAGCTGGCCTACTGGTTGTCGGGCAGTGACCTGTTTCAAGTCTTTGGAGCTTTGCGCGCAGCAGAGCGCTCTGCAGAGGCGTCTTGGGAAACAGTGTCCCCTTTTGTGCAGGACCGTGCCACCTCAAGCGCCATGAATGCAGAGCAGGCCTATGCTGATGCTGTAGTGGATTGCGTGAGGGGTTCAGATCAGGCTTTGAGTGAGCTTTTTTCCGATGATGATGTCTAGCAATAATGCGTGCAATCACACGGATTTCAAAGTTTGCTGGTCAGTAAAGCTGCAAACAGCAGCGTGGCCGTCTGCGCAGCTGCTCCTTACCGTGCAAAAACAGAAGTTCTGCAAATGGCTGGATTGCCTTGTCTTTAGGTGTTTCGGGCTGGGGTTTGAGTCAGGTTCGGGACGAAGTGAAGGTTCAGGGCCTGCAGGGTCTATATGGGCTGTCAACGCTTTGGGGTGCAGGCCCCGTAGAGTGGTTTCGGAGGGATGGACATTCCTACTGCAGGGTCCGCAGCTCTATCATGTGCAGTCAATACTTTGGGTGAGGCCAAGCTAAGTGACTTGGCAGGGTTCCATGATGCTACCTTCTAGATGCGCGGCGCGATGCGCGGTTGGAAAAGTGGTTCTCTCGATACACACTTATATACGCGGCGTCTCGCGCGGTGCCTTTTTGGGCTTCTCAGGCGCGCCTTGATTGCGCGGCGCCTTGCGCGGCGCCTTGCGCGGCGAGAGTGTGTGGACCTCGCCGCGCACGGCGCAAGCTTTTCTTTTTTGTTATTCTGTTACCGCGCGCGACGCCGCGCCCGGCTATACCCAAAGCCATATTCTATC